GATGCAACAACGAATCCATCGTTGATACTCAACGCCTCCACAATGGATCGGTACAAGAATCTGGTGCTGCATGCAGTTGAGTATGGTAAGCATGTGGACGGATCTCAGGAGCGTAAAGTGGCGGAGGCCATGGATTATCTGTCCGTTCTGTTTGGCTGTGAGATTTTGAAAATAGTGCCTGGCAGGGTATCCACTGAGGTTGATGCCCGCCTATCGTTTGATACGGCGCAGAGYGTGGACAAGGCACTGAAACTGATTTGTCTGTATAAGACTTTTGGCATCCGTAAGGAACGTATTCTCATCAAGCTGGCCGCTACGTGGGAGGGCATTAGGGCGGCTGAAATCCTGGAGAAAGAGCATTACGTGAACTGCAATCTGACGCTGATTTTCTCCCTAGCCCAGGCGGCGGCCTGCGCCGAGGCTGGAGTTACATTGATCTCTCCATTCGTGGGCCGCATTTTGGACTGGCATATAGCAAACACGGGCACTAAGAAATTCGAGCCCGATGACGATCCGGGCGTCATATCAGTGCGTCAGATTTACAACTATTATAAAAAATTTGACTACAAGACGCAGATAATGGGCGCGTCGTTTCGAAATACGGGCGAAATCAAAGCATTGGCTGGCTGTGATCTACTAACCATTAGCCCAGCATTGCTCCAGGAACTGGAACATGATCAGAGCGAGTTGCCCCTTCAGCTATGTGAGGAGGCTGCCAAGCGAGCGGATGTCAAGAAGCTCTGTGTTTACGAGAATCGATTCAGATGGCTAATGAACGAGGATGCCATGGCCACAGACCTATTAGCCACGGGCATACGAAAGTTTTCATTGGATACGGTAAAGCTAGAAAAGCTAATAACATCTCTATTCTGATTAACAAAATTTCACTTATATGTAGAAAACTRCAAATCTAAATATTTTGTAATCCCCATAAAATTATTCAGTCATAAATAAAACTTCTCTTCGCCTCTAAGCTCACTGGCTCGGTAAACACACACATACAACTATAATTCATAGCACATTGATATGATAATACTTAATTGGTATCTTTGAATATGATGATGGCAATTAACACTCAGATATTGGCCGCTGATCGACAAACAATGTACATATAGTGTGAACCAACTCAGTTAACGACATCTTCTACCGAATTGTACACGAATTAACTAGGCTTAGTTTATGCTTAGAGCTAAACAATTCATTTAATTTTAATATGTGGTTTCCTTCTCGGTTCRAGCTGTSTGCTTGTCTRCCTGGTCTTAAAACCTAAATCTAACTTATCCATCTATGTACAACATTTAGATCTATCTTAGGCTTAACACTTCGTACGATCCGTTTCAGCTTAAAATCTCATATAGCTGAAATCATTCGGATTTGGCCCAGATGTCACCAACGACCCGCTTACCTCTTCCTCTATGGCTGAGCCGCATCGGTTAATGGAGGCGTTCTTCTCCAGGCTAAATGTATCCTCTGTTGTCTTATTGTACGTGGGATTCGAAAAGTTCATTGTATTTCCGCGCTTTGGATATTGCCTTAATAGCCAATAGAAGGCCTGGAGAAGMACACGGAATTAGTTTTCCACTTGGAATATTATCAACAGTTCACTATTTACTCACGCCTATGACTAAAGTTACGGATGCAACAGTTCCGACGATAACCAGTGCTATTGCTTTGCTGTTGCCCTCCGGTTGCTGCCCCGTCTCGGCGCTGTCTCCG